AGATTTTAAAGTTCAGGGGATGGTAATACAAGTGACAAAGCTCAGGGGAATTTATGAAATTTATCCTCAAAAAATTTGAAAAACCGCTCAAACCGCCTACTCCAAATCCATAATTATTTTTTATTATTGGGCGTATCGGTGTTTTAGTCTAATTTTTTGGGGCGGTTTGGTTAGTAATTTGGGCTCTCCATATAATTTTTTATTTTAAAAATATTTTTTTAATTATGTTAATTCTTATGGGTCATAGTAGAGATTCTACATTTATAAAATACACTCGACCACATATTTATTAGTTCGAATTAAAATTTTAGACATTTGCTATTTTTGAGTTATATTGTAAACTTGAACCTTATGTTTATTTTTTAAAAAATTAACAGTTTTATTATCTTTGTGTTTGAAAGCTTTTGGAAATTTAAGCTCAAACCGCCCACACTGTACCGCGTGAAGGCGCCCACACTGAGTGCCTTAATCTTGTTTTATTAACTTTTCTTTTTTGTTCAATATGACTACAAACTCAATTTCTCGATTGGATTAATTTTAAATATTTTCCCCTAACTATGACCCTTGTAACATTTTACCTCCCGAATTTTAAAACGTAACATTCACTCCACCCGAATTTTATTCCATTAACAAGTTTTTCCCTTTTGTTACAATGAGTGACGGAATTCACCATGTGTCAGGCACGTGACCCATCTCAGGAGGGTAATTCTAGACTAATTCTGAAACCAGATCTCTAGCACATAAATTTTCTCCACTGTCAAGCCGCTTTCACAATTTGAAAAAAAAAGACTCCCTCTCTCTAATTTCTCTTACTTCCTTTCTCTTTCTCGATTATCGCTCTATCTCTAAGAAACTAAAAAAAATCCCATATCTGAGAAACTAGATCTCCACCTACAACATCGATGGGGTTGGGTTACCAAGGCCAGACATAGAGTCGCGATGGGGCTGGAGAGTGAGAAGAGCAGGGTTGGGCACAACGGTGGTGCGTCGCATGAGGGCTAGGCTTGCTGGGGCTGGAGAAGGAGGAGCATGGGTCGCGTGACGATGGTGGGTCACGGTGCACGATGGATTTGGGTTGCCGAGGCTGAAGAGGGAAGAGGCGTAGTAGGTCGGCGAGATAACGACGGCTGGGCTCGCCGGATAAAGAAGAGGAGAAGGAGCCTCGTGTTATCCAATTGGCTTAGAGAGAGAAAGAAGAGAGAGAGAGAGAGAGAGAGAGACTTGCACACATACCATAGAAATTAGAAATTGGAAAAAATGAAAATTAGAAAGAAAGAAAATTAGAGAGTGAGAGAGGGGGGGAGAGAGGATTTTCTTTATTTTTTTCTTATTATTTTTTTATATTTTCAGAGGGTATAAGTGTAATTACACTTTTAATTATCACTAAATAAGTGACACGTGCAATTTTCGTCACTCATTGTAACAGAATGGAAAAACTTATTAACGGAACAAAGTTCGGAGGGAGTAGATGTTATGTTTTAAAATTTGGAGAGCAAAGTGTTAAAAGGGTCATGATTCAGAGAGAATTTTTGAAATTAATCCTTCTCGATTCTTTCTATTGATTGTTTGTGATTATTTCTAGTGATACTTTCTAATTGTTTTCACTTACGAGTCTTTCACCTTGAAAAATTGACCATCACTTAATATAGGAGCCTTAAATTTAAACAACCATCTTCTTTTATTTATTTATTTTTTTTTTATCTTTTGTTGTTTTTGACTTTGTTAGTCAAGTCAACAACTTCACGTGATAGAACGCCGTAATTTTGTAAGTTTCTTGTCGTTTAATTTAATAAACGACGTGTGGTTTGCTAAATTCAATATTCAATTGTCGTTTAAGATAGAACGACATATCGTATGTGTGGGGAAAAAAAACCAAAATGTTACTTAACCGTGAAAATCGGTTAAACTTGTGAATTATGATGTCCTTTGTTACCCAAACACTGCTGGCATTTATGTAAAAATGTGTGGATTTAGCATACCACGAGATATGAAGTCGTTTATTATTGAGGCTTTTACTTCAGAAGTTGCTGCCATTTGTGAAAGAGAAAATTATTAAACTTACTCTTACAGTACATTATTTGAATTTTTATTCCTTACTCTTGATCAATACTCTTTTAACTAATATAATATGTCACTAAAAAAATATTAATTAAAAGTAAGATATAAAAGTCGAGACACATGCACTCTAAAAAGTATGTCTCATTTTCTCTTTGTGAAAATAAGTCTCACATTGACTTCTACTGAAGCACGTTTACCTTTAGGATTAGTTTCCCATCCAAGATTCTTACACTCTTTTATCTTACGCACAATTGATCCCATTTCTCATAATAAAAAAGGGATTTCCGAATCCCTTAAAAAAAAAAAAAAAAAAAGAAGAGTATTCTCCGAACGTGTTTTGAGCTTCTTTATTCCTTGACCATGAGAATGTCGTCAAGAAATATAGCTCAAAAACATATAGGGTGCGTTTGGAATTGATTCCATAACGTTTTTGTTTTCTGTACGAAAATGAAAATGAAAACGTTTTTAGTTTCATTTTTGAATTATTTCTAAAAATGCGTTTGGTAGTTTTATTTAGAAATTGATTTCAGTTTTAAACAAAACTGAAACTGCGTTTGGTAGTTTAATTTTTGAAAACATGTAATAATATATTAAATAAATAATATTATTAAATATATTAAATAAATAATATTATTAAATATATTAAATAAATAATATTATTAAATATATTAAATAA